TTCAGTACTCTTATTCAGCACCACAGCTCAAAGGCATCAATTCTCCTTCTCTCGTCTCTAGTCATTGTCCAGCTTTCTGATGCATAACAAGCAATTGCAAAGACTATGGCCTGTATCATATGTACCTTAGTCTCCAGACTTGATATCATTGCTCATCAGTACTCTGGAGAGGTCTCTTTCAGCAGACTTTCCCAGCGCAGTTTATCCTTTAATTTCCTGGCTGCTGGTACCAAGAGTGTTGATTGTGGAGCTAAGCAAACCATATCTGTTAACAATCTCACTCTCTTCACCATCTATCATGATGCTGCCAATCGGCCCAGTGGTGAGAATCTTTGTTTTCTTGATGTTGAACATTATTGCTCTTTCCTGTTTGTCTCCAGTAATTTCTAGCTAAACCACCTTTTATCCTCCCAGTCCTTTTCCATTTACTCCTGCAATTTAGGGCCAAGAGCTAAGTATCGTTTTGATGAGACTGGGTCAACTAGCTTGGGATATGACTACTGACGAGACTGCATGGACAGGAGAACATACTGCAAAAGTTCTTCCCGTTCTGCAGCCCCTGTTCCTCCCCTATGTGAGCTCCTGCAGTATCCAAGACAAGGAGCAGATGGAAGCTCATATTCCCTGCCTCCTATATGATGTTGTTGTTGTTGTGTGTCATTGACTCAAAAGCAAATCATGTGTTGACCCCTCCAGTGAGTGTTTAGAGGCTCTAAATCCCATGAGAAAAGATTGCCCGTTTTTCTTCAATGGAGCTGTTGGTCGGTGGATTCAAGTCGTGAGTTTTACAGTACAAACTTCTTACCAGTAGACAACCAGAACTCCCTGCCTCCTGTATACCAGGACATGATCACATTTTGCTGTTCCACTCCTCTCTTGTGTCTGAGATTCATTTTCAGCAGCAGGCAGCAGGTCCACACCTTTGTGCTAAACAGTTATTCAATAAATAATAAACAAGGCAAGGAGGGATCGGTTCTTGGAGAAGGACATCACACTTGGAAGGGCGGAATTACGGAGAAAGAGAGGGAGACCATCAATGAGATGGATTGATTCACTGGGGAATGAGGGAAGGTGTGTCAGAGACAGTAAAGTTGGCACAGGATAGAGCAGGTTTCAGGGCTGTTGTACACAGGGTCTCTATGAGTCGCAAGCTATGACTCAACGGCATATGACAACAACAACAAGCACTTAATGCTCACTTACAATCTGTAGTGAACAATTTGAAATGAGCATCTTTGGTGTAAGCCCTGGATAAAAACAGAATTCTTAACGAGGTGAAAATGATGAAAAATAGTTCACCACAGATCATAGGAATGCACAGGCTAACCTGTGCTTGCCCTTCTTAGTGGGCAGTTCACCCCAGCTAGCAAGGAGTGCAAAGGGCTCAGCCCACACCCACTCTTGTTCTCAGGGAAACCTTCACTCGGCTTGACAAACAGACCTTTCTGTAAGGAATCCTTGCAGACACTCCCGACAGGCACAAGGCCCAGGTTACTAAGTGGTGGCGTACCTTTGTTTTAAAAGTAATGATGTGGGGAAATCTTTTGAGACAGAATTTTTCCCAAGGCACACCAGAACCACCCAGGCCCTCCCATCAGGCCTGAGCCAGGGGTGTGACTGACTGAGCCAGAACTGAGAACAACGGAGCCAAGAAAAACAAAATGAGATGAAGATGTGGCCTTTGCATCTCACTCGCCGTTTTAAACATCTCTGTCTTTGAGAACCCAAGATGTAAGCTTTGTGCTTGAGAACAAGACAGGAAGGCAGGAATTTGTCTTAATGAACCACTTCCCTCCCCCCAGTCTCTCAGCGTTCTGTTTTAAAAGAAACTTGTCTTTGTACCATTCACTTCTTTAAGATCAGGACTCTGTGTTCTTGTGCGATCGTCTAAAGATTGTGTCTTTTCTAGTTGTTTCTCAGCACCTTGAGCTCTTTTTTAACAGTCTCCCCTGTTGCTTCCATACTGTCTAATCAATGAGAGATTCCAAAAAATAAATAAAACCCCACCAAATGCTACATCTATAGGCTTCTATAGTTTAAAAAAAATCTGGAAAATTCTGATAGGCTCGGAAAAAATCCTGGACGATTCTGATAGGTTCTAAGGTCTTCGTGCTAGTTTATTGAGTCAGCTCCAGGACATCCCTACCCAATATACACAGAATGAAATATTACTGAGGCCTGCAGCATCTTGACCACTGCTGGTGCTCAAATTAAAAAAATGATGGGACTCCTGCACATTTTGATTGTGTCATCCAACCTAGAGGGTCCATCTTCCAGCAAAATAAGGACAATATTCTCTTGTTATTTTTTTTTCCTAATCTGACAGAGTCTGGAAGCTCTACTAAGACTTCTCCACAGTGGGTGATCTGCTGGTATTTGAAATACCCGTGGCATAATTTCCACCACCCCAGCAACAAGCAAGCCACCACAATGTGACAAGTTATCAGCAAGGTGGGGACTAGGACCTCGACACACAGGAAATGCTTGTCTCCCAAGCACACCAAAAAAGTTTATTCAGACTACAAACAAGAACAACTAGTTAAACTGTGCAGAACATTTAAAACTAGTCTGTCAGTGTCTGTCCTGTTTTCCATCTAGCGTGTCTTGCACCTCCCTTGGTCAGGTCAGAATGAACAAAAAGAAAAGCGGGTACAGGAAAGGCCTTGCTGTACTCACAAACAGGTGAGAAGCAGCTTGGACTGGAACTGGAATTACTCAAAGTCACACTTAAGCTGCCTATTAAAAGCTCAAGTCTCAGGATCACTGCGCAAAGCCCAACCTCACCCCAGGGCATTGGGAGGGGCCCTGGGAACTGAGGCAGAGATGGAAAGGTGGCCTCCCAGGGAAGAGACCTCCACAGGACTGGTGAATTCTAAGTGAGCAGATTGTAGGGTTCCCAGTGTACCCTGGACAAGACTCCTATGGTGAGGCCAGAACAGTGAAGTGGAACTAATGTCAGTGCTGGAGGTGGGTCCCAGAGATCAGGGCCAGGGTTCAGGAAGAGTCTATGTTCTCGGGTTTTGGCTCCTCAGCAAAGACTGATTTTTACCTTACTCTGCTTGACTCAGAGATCTGGTAACATAGTCCTCAGGGAATTGTGGTATTAACCCAAAGGCAATGTGTCTCTGGTGGTTCAAATCCACCAGTGATTTTGTGGGAGAAAGATGGACAATCTCATACTGCGTGATTTACAGGCTCCCTGTAAATTCCATCCCTGCTGGAGGGTCAGCTACGAATTGGTTCCACCACATCAATGGCATTGAGTTGAGTTTGAGTTGTTCCCTAATTGTACTCTTGTGTCTGAGGGAATGATCTAAGTGCTAATTCTTCTGGTCACTTTGATCTAAATCAAGGCAGAGCCATTCCCACTGTCCAGAGCCTAAGCCAACATGTCCTTCCCACTGTTAGGACCCTATTTTCTCCATCTAGTTTCTCCATCTCCTATGTCTTGCCCTTCCTGTGTCCTGCACACCCCACCAGCTTTGTGCTACAGTCCAATTGGAGGGACGTGTGCAATCCACACTCTCTGTGATGCCTAGGTACTGTGCAACACTTTGTCCCCTATCAAGTATTTTCACTATAGTATTTCAAGTGTAAAGCACCAGGGAGTATTCTTTGGAACTAGTCAGAATGCAAGCTTCTCCAGCAGGCTTCCAAAAGGCAAATGCCAAGTTCTCTCTGCATTTTGAAAACTAGACGACTTTCCACTATCAGATTCCCATGGGGCCAGGCATTGCACTGAAGGTTGAGCAAGGCAGTGCAATGCTGTTAGAGATGTTTGTTACATTCATCTCAAATCAGACCTATGACGCGGGGAATGAGTTTAAACGGCCAAATCAGGGCGCTGGGTTCCCAGCATCTTGTCCAGCTGTTCAAGATGAGAATGAGAAAGTTAAGTTTTACTTTATCATGGGTGACTTCCAAATTTTGATGGTGAAAAAAATCCTGCTACCCTTTTGTTCCAGAGGATTGCTCATTGCAAACAACTGACCAAGACTGGCTAAATGGCTTTCACTCTAAATAAATGTTGTTGTAGCCTTGATCCTGTGCCATCTCCATAAGCAGTTGGAGATAAGTTCTTATCTCCTTGTTAGTCGATCTGAGTCTTGAAGCTCCACTAATACCAAACTGGCATCACAGCGACAGGCATGCCTCCACTGACACAGGGGTGGTGTCGGCCAGAAATCAAACCCACGCCTCACACAGGAGGCGAGAATTCTACCACTGAACCAGCTCCGCCCCCAAACAAACTTCAGGGTTGATATTTTTCTATTTTATCTTCCCAACATTTTTCTTCTCTGTCTTTTCAACGTCGAAGCACACAGTCAGAGAATCTCTTGTCTCTTCTCCCTTTGTGGATTGCCCAGGATCATATGTCCAAACAAAGTGACCCTAATTGCAGCCTCCATGAGTCACTCCCTCATGCCAGGGATCAGATGCCTTAACTTTCTCTTAAAACCCCAGAGCCTTTGTACCAGTGGAAGAGGAGATGGAGTCCTCCTATCCGATAATATAGCCCTCCTGGGGTGATATTTATTCCTTCCTTCCCCTTAATTCTTCCCTCTCCCTCAGAGCGATCTTTTAATAAAGCCATCTTTGTGTTTGTAACACTGCCAGGAGTTCGCTTTTCTGTAGGCCTGTCCCTGTGCCTGCAAACAGCTGCACATGCAGCTCTGAGCTGTGTCTTCCTTCCTAACCCTGAGTTTCAATCTCTCTGGTTTAGTTGCTGACCTGTTTTGTCTTATCCCACAGCTAGCTAATGTTCTCCAAGGTTAAAAATGCACGTGTTCATAACACCTTAGAAAAATAAGTAATTCTTTAATGTCTACTTCAAAATAAACTATGTACATCTGAAACTCTAAGGGACCATATCCTGGGTGATTGCTCCATCATAAAAATAAAATATAAAATGGTGATTGCCCCATTCCAGCTGAAAGGGGGTGAGCTGCCACTCTGGCTGCAGTTGGGGGCTGTCTGCGGGTGACTTTGTGGTCGTCGTGTCACACGGGGTCCTTGTCGAGGAGCTCCTGGAGCGCTTTGAGGACGTGCTTGGGCTGGCTGGCAGCGAAGTCCTGCAGCCGGGAGCCCATCTGCTCGTGGAGGGCCCTGCACAGCCTGCTCACAGCCGCCCGCATGTTCCCGCTGTGGCCCGGCAGCACGCCGTTCCCGGTCATGTTGTTCAGGAAGTACCAGAGGACCGGGAGGACATGGCGTTCCACGGCCTGAGGCTTCCGGGGGTAAACTGAGGTCACCAGCGCTGGGGGCAGAAAAGAAAGAGCAACTGAGTCAGGCGCCCTCTCCTCTCCCACTCCCCTTCCTGGGGACACAACTCTCTCCCCTTGAAGGGCAAGTGGTCACAGGGCTGACTGCTCTGTTAGATGTCCTGCCAAGATGCTTTCAGATGCGTGCTGCCATTGAGTCTCAAATGGAAAGATTATATTGAAATATACTTAAACTGAATTATATTTAGACAAATAGTTATAAATTATACTTTTTTTTTTTCCAAGAAAGGGTCTACAGAAGGGAGCTCTGGTGCCCTAATGGCAAGAATCTACACTGCAAAATCCAGAGGCACACAGTTCGAATCCACCATATGCTCTGCTGGAGAAGGAGGGACAATCTCCTCCCTGTACCAGTCAGATCCGATTTGACGGTACACACACCAAAAACATAATAAAAAATTTTTAAAATTAAATTTAAAAAAGAAAGGGTCTACAGAAGCCAAAGAATCCAGAGCCCATGATAATGAAAATAGGTCCCAACTATCCAAGGAAGAAGAGAGAGGCAGATCTGCCTGGATTACAATCTGTCTCCACTCTTTCCTGCCTGTGTGAGCTTGTAAAAGGCTCCCAGTCTTTCTGCCCCTGTTCCTTAATCAGTAAAATAATGATAATGATCCTGGACCAAGCCCTTAAAGGTGTTTCAGGGATTTGATAATCAAGTGTGTATGATGAGATTGGCCTTGGAGGGCAGGCATGGGACAAGCGGCAACTCCTATCAGCTGCCATTAAGTTGATTGTGGCTCACAGCACCCCTCCTGGATAGGGTGGGGCTACCCCATGGGTCCCAAGGCTGTAGAAGCTGCAACCACATTTTTCTCCTGCTGAGCAGCTGCGGGGTAAAACTCCTGTTGGTGAGATAGAACTGTCAGCTTCTCCTTTAGCAGTCAAGGGCTTAAGATACTGGGGTCACTAGAGCTCTGTATTAGGACTAGCATTGTTTTAACGCACAGCACTCCCTGTAAGAGTACAGAGAAGCAAACAGAAACACTGTGGTAAGAAGAAAAGGAAATATTCTCTCAAATGACATTTTCTAGTTAGAACTAAGACCAGCCAAGCCTCCACAGTGCCCAGGGTCTAGACATGTGGTGTCAAAGTGCTCTGTAAAACCAGCTCTTCACCGACTTCCATTCCAATTATGAGCCTCCTTGAGTCTGAGAAGCCAAAACCCCCAGATCTTTTATTCACACCTTTAAGTTAACAATAATTTAATTGCCTCGTAAACGTTACTAACAGCTCATTTGTTTGTTCAGTGTAAGGCCCACATACTGTGATGGACTGTTAACGTCTTAAAGCATGTTGAAAGCATAGGTTCTCATTCCATATCTTTTTCCACCCCCTCACAATTTGTTTTCTTTTCTCGTTGTCATAAGTGCAGAAATAAAACACAGCATTTGTCAATTTAACACTTTTCATATGTGTAATTCAGTGAAACCAATTATATCATTTATATTGTGCAACCATCACCCAATCCAGTGCCAGATTTTTCGTTACCATAAACAGAAACTCAAAGCTTCCAGTCCCCCTAAAAGTCTCTCAACTCCAGAAAACTTGAAAGCCGGTGGGACCTAACAGTAAGGCCTCCATCACCAGTTGTGTGCTCCAGACAATGTCAGAGTCACATCACGAACCACCCATCTTGGGAGGAGCTGAGTGTGCTTCAGCTGTGACTGGGTGCCCTAAGTGCATTAGTGCTAACAAGGCTGGTTGTACAATCAGAGCAATCCTCCTGACATCCTGCCAAAGGATAAGTGCTGCTGACGGTAAACAATGCTGAGAGCAGTGTTTTGCTTATTTATTAGGCAAAGAAACTGGAATGTTCTCTGGGCCCAGCCACTCCCAAGAAAGTAGCACCACCTGAGCTTGGCTGGGCACAGAACCTGCAGCTTCCCCTCTGTTTATTCCCACAGGGACTCTGAGAGGCAGAGGCTGCAACAGAGGGGAGCCAGGAAGGTCAAGGAGCTTGTCCCAGACCACACAGCCAGGCCAGCGCTGAGCCTCTTAGCGAGACATGAATCAGCTTTGTTTCAAAGTCCATGCTTTGGGATACCAACCACCTCCCACAACTCTAAGAGGTCCTTTTAAAAAAACTCTTTCTCATTTAATACATACACACACATATAACTCAATGCCATCGAGTTGGAACCAAGTCATAGCTGACAGTCCAACACACACATACACCCACACCCACACACACACCCCAGTGGTTTTAAGAGGGTGTAGATTGCATGGAGGAATGAGTAGCTGGTGGATTTGAACCGCCTGGCTTTTGATTGGCAACACAACTCCTCATTCACTGGGCCACCGGAGTTCCATATGTGTGTGTACATGTAAACTCTGTGGTAAATACAGGCAACAAAACATTTGCCATTTTCACAATCTTCACATGTACCGTTCAACGGCATTAAATTTGTTCATTATGTTGCTCAACTGTTACCATGTTCCCATGACCCTTAACACATTGTCACACACTTTAAAATTTATGACCGTGCTTAGAAACACATTTTTTTCAATTGTTTATGGCTGCCTTATGAAACTGAGCGTCAGTCGTTGATGTCGAATGATGTTCCTTTTTTTATTAATTAAAATGTGCAGGATGGCATAGCCGTCATTTACGGTGGCGTGTTAACAGAAATGCACCCCAGGCTTGGATCTTCCTCCCCCTCTGGGGACTTCACTTTCCAGTAGCTGGTCTACAGTTTTCGTTTTCATGAAATCCCCAATTTGTCCTCCTTTCAGCAGCTGGACTCACCCAGTTCCCAGGATGCCTTCCACCAGGAGCCTAAGAGAGTCCTTCTCTTTTCATAGCCATCTTGGGATGGATAATGGGGAACAGAAACCTCACCACTCCCTCAGCTCAGCCTGACACATGTGATGTTTCTTAGGGAAATAGAATATCAATTATCAAGCCATACCCTCAGGGTTCTCCACACAACTCTGGGGTGCCCCTTGGAGATCCTCAAGGATCCCAGAACCCCCAGAAGATTCCGTAAGGGTGCCCTTATCAGTAGGGAATGCAGGACTGTGCTCTGAGTGAGCCCAGCCACATGAGCATGCAGGGGAAAGTTCCAGATGATAGGATCTTGAGCAAGAAGGCACAACTATTAAAACATGTATGGAAACTTAAGGGGAGGAGCAGACGCGTGAGGATGGGTAGGGTGAAATCACAGGGTTATACAGTTTGGTGGGGGCAGGGGAGAGGAAACGGGAAGGATCCAGGCAAAAAGATAGGGAAATGATAGGCAAGGTCCAATGATGATTAATTTTATAAAAAATAAAGCATGAGAGTGATTGTATGAGACACAATATATATGAAGAAATATGATGTAGACAAAGTTTGTAAGCAAATTTATTAAAAAAAAAAAAAAAGGAAAGTGCACTGGGTGGAAAGAAGTGAGAACTCTCCCATGTTTGGAACAGGCCAAGAAGAGTGAAGAAAGTTAACAGGAAAGCCACCCAGTTAATCCCAAAGATAGGGGTAGGGAGCAAAGGGTAAAGTGAGGGGTGAGAGGTTCAAGGAGAAGTGGGTGAGGAGGGATGAGAGGTAATGCAGGGCTAAGGGTGGGAATGGATTTTATTGCTTGAAAACCTTCACTAAATAAATACAGTCTGGAGGTTTCCAAAGTCTTCAGTGAATCTGACCTACAGAAGAAGGTTAAGGACTATCCCCAAACCAGAAGAAGCAATGCCCTTTTCCTGCCACTGAAGGAGAGAGTTCACCTAACCGTCCCCACCCACCCACACGGTAGGATGTGGCTGCATTTCAGGTCAGAGCATGAGCCCCTCAGGAGCAGTGAGGCCCTGTGAACTGCCAGTCACGTCCACCCCCAGGAAGCTCACACCCCACTCAGAGCAGCAGTCCCAGCCTCACGGTCCTCACGTCCTCAGCCCACACTTTCTTCACTGCTCAGCTCCTCTTTCCTAACTCAGAGCCCCTTTCCTGAGGAGATGGGGGAGGGGGGTGTTGCCTGGCTGACAAAGATCTGTCTTTCAAACTGACAGAGGTTGTGGTGGCACTTCCAGGAGTCATTGTGTGTGTGTGGGGGGGGGGGGAGCCCAAGACATTAAACTCAAACTAAAAAGCTAGCTGAAGTAATTAGCAAAGGATTTACTCCTACTAAGCAGTGCTATTATTTGTCAGTGCCTCGTGTCAATTGAAATTATCTCCTCTGTTCCAGGCTGAAATGGAGTAATGGCTGCTTCGGGGGCCTTTTGGAAATAGAGAGAAGAAAATGACAGTAAATGGGTCATCTAAGCAAGGATGCTCTCTCCCCTCTGGGTTCCATAAGTTATCTAAACAAAGGCAGGAGGAGATTTCATCCGGAGAATGCTGAGTTAGAGCAATAGAGACAAGTTCCCCTTTCAGGATTCAGGATGGTCTCAGATGTGTGCCCCGGCGTCACCCCATAGCACCCACTGCACTGCACTGGGCTGTCATCACGGCCTTGTTCACTCGACCCACATGCTTGGGGAACGCCTGGCACCAACCAGGTCAGGGGTCACACTAGGGACACTGGGAGACTGAGCCAGGGCACTGAGATGAGGCAGAGGGAGTGCTGGAATGAGCAGCTGGGATTCGTGCTGCCAATCAGGCTATATTTATCGCATCAACTAAGTTCCTAGTGCTGCAGGCACTGGCGGAGGCCAGCATACCAGCAGTAAAGATCTGTGGGCTAAGGAAGCCATTAGTCCAAAGGGCTAATAGATCACAGGAACAACAGGCTCCAGTAGCCTGAGATCAGAAAGACTAGACGGAGTTCAGCTCCCACTACAGGTCAAGCTGACTGGGATCACAATAGAAGGTTCTGGACAGGGTAGGAGACAAAGGTAGAACAGAGCTCACAATTGTTAAGACCAGACTAACTACTCTGACGGAGCATGGCAAAACCTCTGACACCCTTCAAACCTAGAACTGAACCCCCTCCAAAGATCAGGTTTCAGTCAAACAATAAACAGGCCTACAAAATAAACAAGAGGAATGTGCTCCTCAAGACAATAAATCACGCAGACCAAATTCACAAAGCCAGAAGGGACAAGAAAGATAGACAAAAGGAAATAGGGAAGCCAGAAGGAAGTGGAAAGAGTACTGTTCCACACAGGGATTGGAGCAAACCACAGTCCGACACCAGAAGAGCTACCTGGTGCCCGGCTACCATCAGAGCAGAAGGTCCTGAACAGAGCAGGTGAAGTATCACAAAATAAACTGCACATAAAGTGTTGAACAGAAAATTAATTTGCTTTTTTTATTTTATTTTATATTGGTTTATTTACAAAGTTCGAATATATTGTTTTTCACACCGGATCTTTTAAAGAGAGATGGAGGTGGGGGCAGGTACATATCTGGACACTTTGTTCTAATTCTTTGGAAGATAAACTCCTTGGAGTTTTAAAAGAAAAAAAGAGAAATATTCGAGTTGATGGATCTTTCCCAGGAAGCGCCTGCCTGAAGGAGGAAAAAAGATCTTCTAGCCAAGCTGGCAATCCCCTGAAAATGATCCATGTCAACGTCACAAACAGAATGAGATCTGGATTGGAGGGGGCACGGCTAGTGACTAGACATTTCAAGTCAAAGAGCACGAGCCTGCACATTAACTATCTTCAAACGAAAGCTGCGTGGGATGCTCTCGTGACTGGTGCGTGTAACCTGGGCAGGTGTCCTGGGGAGAGGAAGTGCTACCAGAATCAAATGGAAGCAGAAGAACTTTCCAGAAGGGAAGCAGCATATGGCGATCAGAGAGGCCTGAGAGAGGATGACAACTGTAACTGGATCAGCAAGGAGGGCGCAGGTCAGCAGTTAAGGCCCGGCTCTGCAGCCAGGCACAGGAATCCCAGACTGTGTGCAAGGGGGCGTGGGCACTTAACCTGTCCAAGCTTTGTGCTCTTCAGCTTTGAGCAGGGACAAGCAGGGGACTGACTGCATCCTTCTGCGATCATTATAAGGATAAGGTAGTAACTAGGGCATGTAACTAGGGAAGGGAAGAAGAGAACAAAGCTTGGACAGGCAAGCAGCTGGGACATGCTAGGCCTGATGGGTCAACTCCAGGTATCCCAGATGCTACCCTGAAGATCACTTGGGAGCCACGGAAGAATGTATGATCAAACATCATGTGGGGAGATGCCAGAGTTTAGAGAACAGACTGAGTCTGCTCCATTCCCCCCCAGATGAAACCTTCACAAGATGGGAGACTAGGCTTTGGGCAAGCAGGAAGAATAGTAAAAGTTAGAGAAGTAGCTTGTCCTAGGTCAGAGTCTATGGACCACAAAGGATGTGTCCTTCCCACACATCCCATTAAGGATCCCGGGAGCAGGTTTCAAGCCTGGAATGCAAGCTCTAAGACAGCCTGCAGACTCAAAGCAGAAATGGGATTGGTGCAGCTTCTTCCTTTAACTGACATGTTAAAGAGCCCAGCAGGCCCAGGCGGAGCCCCATCTGCATGTAGTACAGTCCCCGGGCATCTGGCCAGGGGTCAAATGGAGTAAATATCTAGCCCATCCTCTGCTTTCCAGATATGCGTGCCGGAGAAAGGTCAACAGTTCCTAATTCTGACAATGTCATCTGCTCATGAGTCATATACCCACAAGGCTCCCTACCTACCAGAAGAGGTAGTTTCTCTCTCACTCATGCAAAAGCACCCCAGTGGGAGCCCTCTTTGCAAATAAATGAATAAATTTTAAAAAAATGCACAATAGGTTGGGTTGGGGTTTTTTTAGTTGTTGTTGCTGTTCTGTTTATGTTAGTTAGTTTTGTCTTGTTGTTTTGTCTTAAACTATTTCAGTTATGGACAAATCTGTCTCATTTTGACCAAAGATTGTCTTCGGGAAATGCAGATATTGTCTCACGTATATACAAATAAAATAAAATGTTTTTAAAAATCTAATTATTTGGGGAATTATTCTAGGGCTAACAAATCTGGTTTGGAAGAAATGCAGCCAGAGTGCTAGTTAAGGGGCAAGAACTGGTGAAACTTTATCTCACATTCTTTGGGCATGTTGTCAGGAGAGACCAGGCCGACAACATCATGTTGGGGAAAGTGGAGGGTCAGAGAAAGAAAGATCCTTCCTCAATGGGATGGACTGGTGAGGTGACTGTAACCAGGCACCAGAGATTATGAGGACTGCACAGGACTGAGCAAGGTTTCAATCTGTTGTACAAACGGTTGCTATGAATTGAAGACAATTTAATGGTGCCTAGAAATTTCTGGTGGCTTAGTGTTAAGGAGCTGGACTACCAATCCAAAGGCACTTGGTTTGACTCCACTAGCTGTTCCTTGGGAGAAAAATAAAGTTCTTATGGATATTGCAATCTGTTTATCTTATTCGCAATTGACTATGGAAAGAACCCCTTGTGTTCAGTAACAAGGACAGCAACAACTAAAAAAAAAAACCCAAAATGTCTATAGTGTATTTCTTTCTTTTTCCAAAGAGTGCAACTTACTGCCTCTGAAAACCTGCTAACAGGTGAGCTGTGGGTCAGTTCCAACTCAATGGCACCTCACAACAAGAAGGTAAGCTCAACCACAGGTCAGCGGAGAAGAACAGGAATCACCCGAAGGCTGTGGGGCCAACAGACCAGAGCTGCTTACCTGACAGGCGTTCCGTGACATCGAGCATCGCACGGCCACTCAGGAAACGCACGCGCCCAGCAAACACTTGTAGGAGGCACAGGTTGTCTAAAGAGACAGAGAATGTCAGTGACTGAGACACAGCACCAGGGGTCCCAGTGCCAGGTATTCATAGCGGGAAGAGGCCTTTTGAGGTGCTGAATCCCCCCCCCCCCAAGTCATAATAAGACAACTCAAGACAGTAAATGAGCATAGGATGTTCAGGAAAAGGTCGTTGCTGTTGTTAGGTGCATAGAGTATGACTCATAGGAACCCTATGGATAGCAGATCTGAACCCTGGACCTATCCTGTGCCATCCTCACCTTCCCAAAATACAGCTGACCCTTGAACAGTACCAGAGTCAGAAGCAACAACTTCTCGCAAAGTGAAAAATCTGCATAGAGTCATGTCTCCATGACAAATGCCCTACAACATCACACAGCATTTTGTTGTTGCTGTTGTTTCTTAAGAATCTGCATATTAGTGGCCTCAGAGTTCAAACCCATGTTGTTCAAGGGTCGACAGTAGATAAAATGGTTCCCAGACAGGCCTCTTTATGCCCACAAAGTCTTAGAAACTGCAAATTATCTGATTTTAAATAGTCTTCAAATTGCTGTGAGGCTGGACACAGGAAGGTGACTGGATGGCCCAGATGCACGCAGAAAACCAGTGGCCTGGGAGTTGGTCCTGATGAACGGTGAGCCCCTGTGTGTCAGCGTACAACTGTGATTCACAAGATTTTCAATAACTGATTTTCAAAAAATCAACTGTACATCCACGGCACCTCGGGGTACATTCAAACACCAGCCTTCTGGTTAGTAACCAAACACATTAACCATTTGCACCACCAGATGGATACCCATAGATATATGACTGGCTGATTGGAGAGGGATTCACATATACTCATCTATATACTCACAGTAGACTCACATACACACTATCATTTTCTGGGAAACTGAGGCAATAAACCATGCGGGAACATATTTGTGGTTAAATCAAAGGTCAGAATGAGAAGACAGAAATGATGGTTTTCATCAGAGACTGGACTTCTGCCCTGGCCACAGAGAGGAGGCCAGTTATTTTACACACTGAATATTTACGACTATCCTCTAATTACATAGTTAGGTAGCTGCTGTTGCTATGTGCTATCAAGTCGAAACTGACTCATACCTGACCCTCTGGTAGATTTTCAGAGGCTGTGAATCACATGGAAGGGGATTGCTCATCTTTGTCCCTCAAAGTTTTTGGTGGATTTGAACTGCCTGCCTTTGGTTTGGAAGCATATCTTACCCACCAGAGTTCAACATGCAAAGTAGCAACCAAGTAAGACACAGCCTACCCACTTCTCCATCAAGAAGGTCCTTCTACCAGTGGGCAGGTACTTCTAACTGTAACAGAGAAGGAAAATCCCTGTGATTGCTTAACTCCGATCCTTGAATGTTTAAAGTTGGGGTGACCAACTCATCTGTGTTTATCTGGGGTTTGCCTGGTTTTACCACTGAAAATCCCATGTCCCTGGAAATTTCTCAACCTGGCCAGGTCAGGACAGCCTGTCTGACGCAAAGGCACTTGGCTAGCTCTGATAGGGACAGAAGTAGAATGTTGTCAATAGGGCTAACAGGGGAAATATCCCATAGATACTGTGAAAGTAAAGTCCATGGGACTTGCAGAGGGGAACAACAGGAGAAAGAAGAGGTGATGATGTTTGCAAAGTCCCTGAGTAGGACATGAGGCAGAGGGGCGGCATTATTTCACCAGAGGTAGGAAGAAGCCAAGGGGAAAGAGAGCCTGCGTGTAATAAACATCCTGACTTAGCTAATTTTGGGGGAACCATTTAATGTCTGCCACTGGGGGCTCTGGTGGTGTAGTACGTAGGGAGATGTGTTGCTAACCCAAAAGTCACACCTCTCTGGTGGTTCACATCTACCAGCCACCTCACAAGAGAAAGATGAAGTGTCTGCTTCTGCAAAGGCTGGAATCCACACAGGGCGTTTCCCCTGTGTCCTACAGGGTCACTGTAAGTGAGCATTGACTCGTCAGCATTGATTCCTCAGCAGTGGGGTGTCTTGTTTTGTTCTGTTTTCCTTTTCTTTGGTGGTTGTATTGGGGGGTTTTGCTGGGGTGGGGTTTTTTAAATTTTATATTGGTTTGTTCTCAAAGTTCATATAACATTGTGTCCCACACTATTCTTTATTCATACAGTGTTTTATATAATCATTCCCATGCATTACGATTGCTAAGAATCAATCACCAGTGGAAGGTATTGTTCTGTTGCTTCCAGGATGCAGCTCAAAGCTCCTCAGCCCCTTCCTGAGGTCATACCTATTCAACTCTTTCTGATCCAGCCATACCACTTTCATTCACCTTCTCAAATGCCCACTGTTCATGTCACACCACCTTACTTTCACTCAGTGTGGAATCTCTCTCCCTACTCCTCCTTCTTCCCCAACCTAGATCATCTTTCAAGGTAACACCTCTCTGCAAAGCCTTCCTAGTTGTCTTGAATAGGAATCAGTCTCTCTGACTTCCCTAATCTACTCTTCATCTGTATCTGCATTCTAGAGATCTCCAGAAACATTCAAGATGTTCCCCTATGTATCTGACACTCTCCCAGACCCTTAGTGCCTAGAGGGCAAGGATAATACATTAGTCATTTTGTGTCTCACGGGGCGCCAAGCCTAAGCCCAACATATAAATGAGGTTCCTCAGTGTTTGTTTAACTGGGGTGTGTGTGTATATATATATTTAAAAAAACTAGGTTGTTCCCATTTCACAGATGAGACAGTATGCCAGGGAAGAGCAATTTAGAATGTATTAGATGAAACACAACCAGAATGCTCCTTAGAAGTGAAGCTGGAGAGGCTGTCTTGTTGGTTCCTGGACATGACATCAACATCAGGAAAGACTAGGGCAGGACACCACATCAGGGGAAATGAGGGAGATTCTTCATGAGAATGAGTGACACAGTCACAACATATTCTAATACACAGTAATCAGAAAGTTAGCCAAGACCTGGCAACAATTTGTCTTTTCATAAATAAGGTTCCCTGAATCAGAGTCAACTATCTGTTATTGTTTTGTTTGTTTTGTACCATCAGGTCAGAACCGTCCCATAGCTGACCCTCCAGTGGGTTTTCAGAGGAAGCAAATTGTGCAGGAAAAGACTGTCCATCTTTCTCCTAGGGAGCAGTTAGTGGATTTGAACAGCTTGCCTTCAGGTTAGCAGCACAGCTCCTTAACAGTAGGCTACCAGAGCTCCCTGATAACTCTGTTTAACTGTTCCCATCTACAGTCAGTGCTGGGTTCTGAGCAAGATCTTTCCTAAGTGTGTCTTGAAGTGAAACCTGTAGTTAAGTCAGAACATGTATCCAAACTAACACCCTCCGCCATTGAGTTGATTTCAGTGACCCTCCATTGATTTCTGAGGCTGTAAATCCTTATGGGAGGAGATTGTCCATATTTCTCCCTGAGTGGCTGATTGCTTCAAACCATCAACCTTTCAGTTCTCAGACCAATCCATGACCCACTGCACCACCAGGGCTGCTTAAAGAAGTAAGTGCAAACCATTCTTATTTAGTCTTAGTCAGTGCAAGAAAAATCAGGTACTCCTTTTCAGTGATTAAAAGTCGTATGTGAACAGTGTAATATGCACAGAAAATAGTGCCTGTGGCAGTTATTCTAAATCAATGTCTCCTCAATGGCTCCCAGGGCACGTGTCATACCCTGTCATGCCCTAGAGATGTCCTTGCACCTACAGCAAGTAAAGGTCATTGTGATGAAGAATTTGATTCAAGAAGGGATGAGTTCATTGTTTCAAAGTTAAGAGTAAATGTACATAAAATTAAAGGGCAAACATAAATCATCCCTAGGCTGGCTGTTCAAAACTCCAGGACTTCCTGAACCTCACTTCCTGGGCCCGATTTCACCCTCGATGATAAGTCCTGGGCAGTGGAGGCTCTGCGGCAATAGATCCACTTGTGAAGAGAGCAATTTATCCTCCAAATGCCTTGCTCACCTTTACACAAGTTTGAGGAAGTGAGAGATTTCAAAATCCTTTTCTCGACTGTTGTACAAATAATACCTCATCATATATTCCTTTTAAATAGTAATAATCATATATTCCTTTTAAGTTCTTTCCTTCATCCAATCCAATGAAGTGTGTATTATTCGAGAATAAGAGGTGCATTGAAAAGTGGACTGAGGGGGGAAATTGTGCAACAGTGAATTAATTTTTTTTAAAAAAAGGGAACTGGAGGAGGAGGAAGGGAAAGAGCAGGAGGAAATTGTACAACATGAAATGAATGAAAATCCAACTTTTCTGTAAATGCTCATTAAAATCACAATTTTTTAAAAATCAAGTGTTATTGTTGTTATATGCCATTGAGTCACCTGAGACTCATAGTGACCCTGTGTACATTAGTTCTGTACCCTGCTCTATCTTGAGCCAATCTTATCATCTCTGACAGACCTAATCCTATTTCTTTTTTTAAAGTTTATTTTATTTTATTATTTTTGTGTGTGTACCGTCAAATCGGATCTTACTGGTACAGGAGATTGCCCCACCTTCTCCAGCAGAGTGTCTGGTGGATTCAAACCGTGCGCCTCTCTTGCCACTAGGCCACCAGAGCTCCCTAGACCTAATCCTATTTCTACACTAACTGAGTCAATCCATCTCATCCTGGGCCTTCCTCTCCTGTGCTGTCTTTTTACCCTTCCAAACATGATGTCCCTCTCCAAGGACTAGGCCTTCCTGGCCACGTGACCAAAGTATGTCAGATGGAGCTTCAAAATCCTTTACTCCAGGGAGTAGCTTGGTTTCATTCTCTCCAGGTCAGACCTATTCATTTTCCTGGCAGTCCATGGTATGTTCAACACTCTTCTCCAAAATCACAGCTCAAAGGGATCGATCTTTCTTCTATAATCCTTAGTTATCATCCAGCTCTTGGATGCATAGAAAGTAACTGCAAAGACTATGGCCTGGGTCAGACACACCTTAGTCTCCAGGCTGACATCGTTACTCTTCAGTACTTTAGAGAGGTCCTTGACAGCAGACTTTCCCAATGCAATTC